AACCAAATTAGCTATTACAATGGGATCGAAATTTGTCTGTGCGCTGATGATCGACGTTTTCAGCTCTTCGGTTGTTCCATTTTGCTTTTCTCTGCTGTGGAACTTTATAGCAATTAAGGCCTTATGATTCTCTATTGGAATCTGATTCAGCTAACATGTTGGCCACCAGGATAACTGCCACATTTTTTCCCTGCACTTCCATCTGGCGTGGCGTGTAAGGACCGGCATGGACAGCGCGTTATCGTGCGTAAAAATCAAGGTTCGAGGGGACTGTTGTCGAAAAATGGTAAAAGTCGCTTCAAAAGAACTTCACGATACCCTATGGAATCCTTGTGAAAGGAAACAAATACGAGCTCTAGCCGCTCAGTCGTTCAAAGGTGCCTCAAACCATAAGGGATTCTCCGCCAAATTACCTTACTTCAAAACCATCTGCGATTTTCACGGAACCCTCCTGTACCCTCTTTTTCTATCAGATCCACCTAGAACAAACTTTTTCACGTCGATCCCAGATCACCTGTAGCATGAAACAAGGAGGAAGAGTTCAAGATCGCGAAGGGTCTTGACAGCCACACCTTCGTTCATTAAGTTGAGCCCTTTTCCACGGAGAAATGGAGACGTGCGATCTTGTAGCGCTCAAATAATCTTGGAACGCGCTTCATCAATCCGCTGAAGATGTTATTGCTCTGCTGGCTTACTCACCACACGGTGGTTTTGCTCACGGAAGGCCGCATTTCAGCACGGACTTTGTTCGGACCCCTTGTACAATTCGAGAGAAGACACCCAATTCCTCCTAAATTTTGAAGGAAACGCAGTCTTTATTTACCTAAGCTACTCTTCTCCCCGCACTGACCAGGATTTCGCACTTAGTTTTTTTCGCACTTAGTTGCTTATGCAGTATGAGCCGGCCGACATGGGAGGAAATTCTGCTCCTCAGCCATCCCACTTCAGTAAGTGCTCTGGCTTGAGCTTGTTACTGGGAAGAGAGGCGAAGTAACACGAGGTATGGTAAACTCGATGTCGACTGAGCTCACATATTTCCCCGCTTCCCTGATTCCCTTCACGGATCGTGAGAAATGGAAACTTTTTATGAGTGGCCCGATATTCATGAAACGGTGAAAATTCGTTCTAAAAAAGTTAATTGGGTTACTTGGCTTGTCAGGGAAAGAACACTATATAAGGTTTTCAGTGTATTTGGAAATTCTAATCGGTGATAGCATACATTTCAAAAAATGCTCAGCAAAATGTGGGGAAGGCGCTAGTGTTCGGGTAGCAAGAACAAAATTTAGGGATTGGACCGTATAATTTAGAAACGACGAGTGTAGCCTGATGCAAAGAATAAGAAATCGCTAGCTGCGGCAGCTTACTTTGTTAAAGGCATCTTAGTGTCGTTATTTCCGCAGACATGAGTGCCAGCATTTATTGGTCGTATATACGGGAATACTATCCTGCCAATATACGAAGGGGTACCCTCACTGGCAGGTATTCGAATCACACGATAAGCTCCTGCCGGTAGTTGTAATTCTTCCAACACCCCATGACAAGGCCAGACTTTTGACTTCGGGGATTGCGCATCCAGCAATGGGAAATTTTAGTTGGCCGGAAACCTAGAAAAAAGCTATGACAACCTTGGCGTAGCCACACAAGCAGGCCTCTTTAAGTCTACACACAGTCGTTTGACAGTTATACGCATGTATGGTCTACACATTGACACAAAAACATCTGACACGGAGGTCCGCGATGCGCGAAAAAGCGGGAAATCAGTGGTGTGACACAACTGGGTGCATCACCGCCCGGGTAGCTGCTAAAGCATGAGGTTTAACGGGGGGCATGGTGCCGCGCTTGCCTGTTAAAAGGCGTGAAAGGACTACAAGAAATCAAATTCCGCTTCATACTACATTCTAACTATATATTGTGCATGGATGCTTTTCAAAAGGAAGATATTTTTTTGCCTGATTAGAAATAGGTAAAGATGAGCAAGGGTGCTTCTGTGGAGGAATTACATATGAATGAATATTTATCAGAATCTTCCACTTTACATCGTACGACATAGTCTATGCTGATAGTGCAGCAGGTCACAATGGTAGCTTCAATCTAGAAAACCCGAAAAAAAGGGGCGTTCACGAAAAATGATTGTTTTTTTGTGAATGATGCATTTACGCAAGTAACTACCGTAACTACTGAGTTTTCTTCACACTCATCTTGTTTTTCCTTTGTCTCTTCATGTGTCCCAAAAGTGTCCGACTGATCAGTGGCATCACAACAAATGCCAGAACTCCCACGACGATTCCGAAATTCAGCGTCACGTCCAGGTACGGTAGATGAGTGGAATACTTGCCGGTTTCATAGTAGTGCTTTATCGATGTCACCAAACTAACCCCTGGAATTTTTAGATTCTTTTCAAAATAGCTTAATAAATAATTGGCATAAATAAATAAATAAATAAATAAATAAATAAATAAATAAATAAATAAATAAATAAATAAATAAATAAATAAATAAATAAATAAATAAATAAATAAATAAATAAATAATAAATAATATAAACAAATAACAAACAATGAATAAAGTAACGCAAATAATGAATAAGCTTGCATGGAATAATTTTCGAAGTCAAAAAATCAAAGGGAGAAAAGCATACATTCGCAATAGCGTGGGCAGCGGGTAGTAGCTTGGGATCGACAGTGTACCTGCACATGCAAGCACGTACACTCGTATGTCCATGTCGTAGAGCGTAGTACGGATACCTGAATGCATAACAACTTAATGAGTTCATCAAAAATTGGCTCCCCCACCTTTCTTCACGATTTGGGGCGCGGCTGCGGCAAACCCGCGGCGTTCGCGGCCGAGTAGTGCGGCATCAGCTTGCCTGAGTATTCGACGTTACATTACGTGTTGTCGTTACGATCGGATGAACTAACACGTAATGTAAACACGTCGAAATACTCAGGGCAAATTGATGCCGCGAACGCCGCGGGTTTGCCGCAGCTGTGCCCCAAATCGTGAAGAAAGTGGAGGGGCCTCAAAAATTGGTTTTATCGTAAGAGGGGAGGCAATGCAGTACATGTCCAGGCAACAGTAATCCGTGTTCCTTACAAGGAAGGAAGCTAGGGGCGTGGAACATTTCACTGTCACATCCCGGAGCTTCCCCTAGTAAAATTAACTTATTGCAGGACCACATGTCCTCTTCCGTCTTTGAACGCGCCAAAAAATTCACTTCGATTTGCATAGTTGCCATCCATTTACAAGAACGATGTCAAATGCAGGGCGCACGCGGCATGGGTCTGCTATGAAAGGAGCGCACTCCACACGACCCACACCACTAGCAGCTCCTGAGGAATTCTCCATATGCTGGAAAGAATATGTTCCTAAAAACCGCAGAAGCCCACTTGTTTTTTTCTCTTTTACCCTTCCATCCCGAGATTTTCATGAAAATCGTCAAAACCCCTGAACGAACCCCCCTCCCCTCAAGTGCACCGCGATTTCCCAACTCCCACCACCACGACCTAGGGATGCCGTCTGTGGTAAACAGCAGATTTGAGCTGCACGAGAGCTGACATGCCCTGTTGCAGATTCTAGAATTCCTCTCAGAGAAACCCTAAGCCCATCAGACTAAAAATGACAGCCCTTAATCACGAAAGCAGCATAAGAACGGGGAAATGACTTGCTTGGACGGAAATTCTGAAAAATGGAAGACATTCTAGGTCGTCCCATTGTCTGCCAAAAACTTTATCAGGAACAAGGCGACGGACCTCGATCGAGCGGAGTAGAGTAGCGTGCGGTGTTGCAGCGGGTCCGAGCGGGTTCTACTTAATGCGGATTTTCGGCACGTCCATGCCTCTGAACGCCTCTTGGGAAGTAACTTATCCGTTTTCCATTTGAGAAAATTAAGTTCGAACCCAAAAATTTCCACACATGGTTCAAAATGTCCACGAACTGCTCATCTATGCTGGAAAAAGCTGAGCAACTCCATGGTCGACATTTCTAGTAATAATCGATGATGCAGCTCGAAAATGAACTTTCCCGCTGTCGGGGGGTGCGTGACGATTCAATCGTGGCAGTGGCTAGGTCGTCGCGCCAGCCGCCGCAGCCCGCGATGCGGCGTCGGTAAAAAGTGAACTTTCTCTATGATGTCGGTGAGGCGTGCGTGACGATTCAATCGTGGCAGTGGCTAGGTCGCCGCGCCAGCCGCCGCAGCCCGCGATGCGACGTCGGCCGTAGCTAGAATTCATGGTTCTAGCATGGGGGAATGTACGGATTAGATGAAGTTTCCAGTCGTGAAACACGGTATATGATCACCTGCCCCCTCAAAGTACAGGTTCCTTGTCCCTTGCCATTATTACAAACTTATTCGTCATACTAATCTTAAGGGGACGCTTGTTGGCTCACTGATGTCCGGAACTTTGGTTTGTCAGTTCTTTAACCCACCAGCAACTTATGGACAAGGACCGCTTAAGCCAAGTCCCATACAAAAATTGCGCGCGTACCAGCTGCCGCGCGCGACGCTGCCCGCCGCGTGAGCGGCGTGACCTCATTAGCCGTCGATTGAATTGACCGTCTCCCGCTGTCGGGTATGTCGTGATTGCAGATTTAGTAGTGCACGTGGGATGGCCTTGAAAAAAATCGAAATCAAGTGTGCTCGCTGGTTTTTTGCTAAATGATGTACTACGTGTGTCACAAAGTCTGCAGTTACGGCATGTTTAGCAGACGGAAACAGAGTATAGCAGAGTAGAAGAACACATGTACAACAAGTCCTTATGGATAATTTGCTCACCGAACTAGTTCAATTAACACCCATGCAAATAGAAGAATGGGGGTGGAGATTTGATTGTGTATACTTGGATTGCCTTCGATTACGTACAGCATAAGAAGTCGTCCGAATACCTAAAGATGGAACTTTTCGAAATGGAATTTAGCATCAGCCACGGATGGCAAAAGGCTGGTTGTCAAATTAGGAATTATTTCCTCGTAGTTTTCCACGTTGTTCTTCTCTACCTATACATTTTGCCTTGGTCGGAGACATTTTTTGGAACAATTCCGAATAATTTCATCCAAATTGTTAGAGAACGTAGGCGAAGGTAGATGGAACAGTGGATAAGGCGGTGCTTCCAACTACGGCTTTTATGGGGTACCCCCCCCCCAGGAGGCCCGTCGCGCGGCAAGAAGGCAGAGTCGGCGGACGAGTTGCAGCGCGTGGTGTGCGATGTAGGACGTGCAATGGGACACTCTATTTAACTTGACGCGAAATCCCTATAGTACGCGCGCTCGTCCGCTGACTGCCTTCTTGCCGCGCGACGGGCCTCCTGGGGGGTACCCGGTTTTATGTGTTTCAGATCCACCAATTCCAATCCCGTCTCCACACTATTCAAATCCGGAGAGCTCGTGCGGTACTTGTCTGAGAAGATGAAGGTTTGACATCAAACACAACCCCAGTTCAAATCAGTGGGGTAATAGCGGCCAATAATGAAATTGCGGATCCCCAGTTGACTGAAAACGTAAAAGGAAGCAAAGCAAACCGTTCATGAAACCTTTACACAAGGACTCCCTTCCTTTCCTCTGAAATGAAGGAGGGGTGTTTTGACGAGCTGTCTGAACTTGCTTGCCCATGGCTCCACTAACCCGCGCGTCTTTGAATTATTATTCGCCGCTACGTCGTGGTCACATTGCGCGTCATGGGGTGTGTGCGAGGTATCTCGTCCATTAGCCCACTAACCGTATTAAGCTCACTTTGTAAAGCCCTAGCGTCATCTGAATTGGTGCTTTGGAATAGGTGAGAGCGTATGATACTAGGCAACTCTTAATATAATCTGAGTGCCCTTGAATCTTTTTTGGTTTAGAGTGTGGCAGGCATGAACATGCGCGAAAATTGGTCAGACCGGGGCTAGAGTAGGTGTGGGCGGTACTATTACAATTCGAGGTCATCGGAGCAGCTCATCGTACGCGCGGTACCGATCCTTTGTTTTCTTGGATGTCTCGAGTGTGCCACCAATTCTCAGTCTTGTTTCTATGCACGTGGAGCAGTGGAAGGTGGCATCTTATACTTAGAAAATGGTCAAGGGACCAAACGCCGCCCTAGACGCTTAACCTTCTTATTTTCTTATACAGTAAATTGATATCAGATACTAGATAGTAAATTGATATCAGATCTATGAGGACAAAAAAACCGTATTACGATTGGCAGCCAATGGCGAACCATAAATCATAAATATAGTACGTCGCTTAGGTTCCGGATTGAGGGCGATGCATTGGCGCAATCCGAAACGAGGAAATTGGCTAGTGCCAATTAGTTGATTTGGTCTAGATGAACCTGCATAATACCAGCAGCGATTCCGGTTGTGGTTATACCAAGAAGTCCATGCACAACATCCAATAGTTGTGCAGCCGTTCCGATACAAAATAAAGGAAAATGATCATCATAGACAAAAATTCCTAAATATGGTAATCCATGGGTAAATCCGCCTAATTTAATATTATTGCCTGAATTCGATATTTGAGATATGTGAAATATTAAAGGTACCTGATTTCACAGCATTTATCAGTTCCAAAAAATTTTCAGATGAATAGACAAATAGTGTAACATTGTAGAGGAATATATAGACAGTAAGCAATGGAGATCTTTTGGAAACCTTTGCCATTTGGGATATACCTGCAAACTGGTAAAACTCGTGATGGCAACTAATATGCAGCAGCTCGTCCCTGGCGAGCGGCCTCAACATAACGATGATTCGATTCTTAGGGTGTTTTTAGATAAGTTTGTCGTTTTGCGACAGCATTCACGGTTGAGCAGTAACTTCATAGGTTCAATATGAACTCTAGCGACCCACTGCAATCGGTATAGATACCATCTTGAAGAGTCTTTCCAGCTCTGTCCAACGACTCGCTCATCATTGCTTTAGAACATTTTCTTATGAATTTTTCAAAGCTTCAAATGCCGTGTACTCAATGAACAAGTTGGCACGATCTCCCGACACTAAATGCACTATTACACCCCACCCCCCAGTCGGGTCCGAGATGGGTCAAAAAATAATTTTTTGCTGAAACTTCTGCTGTGGGGGTTATCGAGGGTCCTGATCACGAATATGACACTCGTTTCTTGGAATTGTGCTGGTAAATCGCATATTGTTCTGCTTTCCCAAACTTGTTCCGTCATCTATGCCCCTGAGACTAGCTTTAGTGGTGAAACTCCGAGTGGGTGAAACGCACCGTGTGGCAAAGTGTGTTAGTGTGTCAGACCACTTGGGAGTGCCTACTCACTTTGGAGCCCTCCACTATTCAAAGGCTTAGTCCTGATTGCGATCTAATTAGTGCGAGGGCGCAGACGAGCAGGAAGCAGGCGCCGAATAGCGCCAACAACAAAAACGAATGTCATATTCGTAATCAGGACCCCAAATAACCCCTATACAGAAGTTTACAGCGAATTTGGTGGGAATCAGTTGTGGCGCCAATGGCGCCAAATGGCGCCAGCGCCAAAAATGGATGTCATATTCGTGATCAGGACCCCAAATAACCCCCATACAGAAGTTTACAGCGAATTTGGTGATAATCAGTTGTGGCGCCAACTGGCGCCAAATGGCGCCATTTGGCGCCAAAAATGGATGTCATATTCGTGATCAGGACCCTCGATAACCCCATAGCAGAAGTTTCAGCGAAAATTATTTTTTGACCCATCTCGGCCCCACTGGGGTTGTAATAGTGCAATAGTGCCGATTTTCTTTTTCTAGCTTTAAATAGACCTGAAAGTAGCGGGAACAGTTCAAGATATTAACGATGCACTTGGCTAGATTCGCAATAAATGTGCTCAGAAGCAGTAGTTCAAAAAGTTATTGTAACGAAAGCGAGAGCCTTGGTATGATAAGAGTGGTGGTCGGATATCGGACGTTGCCACCGATTAGCCAAAAGTTCTGATTGAGGCACTCGTGCGTAAGGACCATAGAGGAGGTTCTGCCCAACCTGGGCGTATATGGTTTGTACAGCCAAGCTATACGGAAGTAGCTGGAAAGTCCAAAAAATTGATAGGGGCGTGCCGCGACAAATCACCAATTTGAAGGGTCGTCCATCAAATTGTCGCTTGTTTTATGTGATAAAAGCGACTCGTTTTTCTACAGATTTGCGACGTACAATGAAGAAGAGATTCTTCTCTACAGCCCACGAAGCTTTGCTGAATAGCTCGACGGCGATCAAGCTCTACAAACTTTGCAAAACTTAAACTGTGCTGAAGGAGGTTATGGCAGCTTTCATAAGGTCAGCGGCTGGCCATGTTCTTCGTATCAGGTGGAACTGTTACAGTGGAGAAGCAATCTTAACATTACGTCAAAATTCACCAAAAACTCCAAGACATGGGTCCAGCATTCCTCATTATAAAGGAACGGACACATCCCTGAAAGGTGTCTTGAACGCACATCGCACAGTC